AGATTGAATAAGTCCCTGATTACCATGAAAAATTATGTGTCTAACTAACTTTCTGTCACCTTCAAAATTTTTGTACTCAGACATGGAACCTTCATGAAGCATATTCTGTTGTTGCTTTACCCCATTCTCCTAGTTCTATATATATACAATTCTTGATGAAAACCCTATTGTCACTAGGCCCTGTCTGATTATTTAAGTGGAACTATAAAAATATATTGAATGTCTCTTACCACATCATGGCCAAAAACTTTGCATGCAGCATACACTTCTTGAATTTTGTTGATAATCATACGAGCCTGAGTAAGATAAAGCACATTCTTATACCCTGTACAATCTGGTATACACAATGCATCTTAAATTGTGTGGAGCAGTTATTCCTACCTTGAGTAGCAAGTATAATGTTGTTGCTATGACAGCAAAGTACTCTCCTCCATAGTTGTATTCCGTGAAAAAGGCAAACCACAGTGGAATGGGTACCAGCATGCGGTACAAATGCGAGAAATTTTCTATCAACAGGTAATACTTGCCCTGTGAATTTTAATAAAGAGAACCATGTCAACATGTCTCATAAAGCTATTTGCATGACCATCATATCCACAAACTTTCCTTGATTCATTTTGAGCTCTGGAAGGTATAATTTGATGGGAATGGAACGGAAAATCTGACCAGAAAAGTTTGAAAGCCTGCCACATTGACACCATTTTGTCCATTTTTATCATTTGTAGTGAACACACTAACTGATGCCTTTCAAGTAAGATTTAAGCACAAAAGAAAAATGGGTCAAGTTTCTTGAGAAACTGTGGTGCTGTGTCAGTGGGAGGGTATAACAAGGTATTTTGATTAAACTGAGTTGACCTTTTGAATGATAGCCCTTTGCTCTGACAAAGGGCTAACACCTGAAACATTAGCTTATAAACACTTTATGATGGCCAATTTACATTATTAACTCAGTTGATAAAATCAAATTACCCTACATGCACAAAAGACAGATTCTGATGAGTTCATTGATCCTCTCATGATAGAGGAAGTTTGGAGACAAAATACTTCTTAGTAGGGAAGATGGGGGAGAAGCCTCTCTTAAGTGAGACAATCACTCAGCATGGGCAGTGTGGAGAGGCTCAGGTGTCAATTCATTAATTTAAATTATTATTGTTTAGCTTGTCCTGCACTGAAAAAAAGAGAACTGGCTGACAATTATGACGTGAACTGGTATTTCGGATTACAGCAACTGCACATAGCACATGAAAGATTTGTGACAGTTTATCCACCCCTCTATGGCAAAACCTAAATTAACAATTTGACAGCCTGTCTGTTAGTTGTCAAATTGACTATTAGTATTAACATATGAAAAGGTGACTTGATGAAATATTTACCCTTCGACGAAATGGGATTATCTTTCTGTGTTGCACAACCACCATGGATTTTAAGGCCATTGTAATAAATCGAATCACAAAATCTATGAAAGGAAACATGTTAAAATCATCAGCTGAATTTTTTAAGGAATGAATTCAACCAGCAAATAGCTTTACAAATGTACTCTGGTAACGTACCAGTTATACCCACGCACCAAAACACAGTCCACACATCCATTCTACTGAAGAATGGCTTCCTAAAAATTAAACTGCAGACAAAACTATCTGTTATTATGATGTTAACTTGATACAGTGTATATCTCAACCAATAACTTGTTATTATTGTTGCCATCATTCAACATTCAAATTTAAGTGCTGTATACACATACATGCTATTCGAATGATGGAAACGTACCAGTTTTCTAAGTGTTGGTTGTAAAACACATAGTAAATAAAGAACACATTCCCAGACAGAAAAATGAAAGTCCACAATGATATACGGTTTAGTCGTCTGTCCTGGAAAATCAAAACAGTCGTATAAGGATTAAAATGTCATATGAAACAAATAGTTCAGAGTTTTTGTATATTAATTCTTAAGTTGCCATCTACAAGCTCGTATTCTTAACCCTTTACTCCAAAGATCTCACCACAAATTCTCCCAACTGTATATCATACAATTCTTATTATGTGAGTATGGAAAATTTGGTATTGGATCAACTAATAATCCCCTAATTAATATTTTTCTTTATTCTCATCATTTGTCTGCATGATATTGTATTAATATTATAAGGGGAAATATTAACCAATCTAGACATTGGCAGAAAAGATCTTTTTCCATATTTACATACTCTCGTCTAAACATGGTAAGGTGAATTTGGGGGAAGAATGGTTAAGATGAGGTAGAGACACATATACAAACCACAAACACAGTAACCCTTCTCCTAGTCAACCAGGTAATGTGATTTGCATCTAAGTGAAGTGCAATTCTTGAGATTTGGTTACCATAGGAAAAAAGGTTACCCGTGATGACATGGCGATTTTATCGTCAAAACCCCGTCTTAAACTTATTTGCACCTCACCCAACTGATAATCGTGGTAACTCGACTGAATTCTAAGAAAATAGTATAAATACTGTGTGGATGTGTATGAAACCGTTTTTTTTTGTGAGTAGTTCCACAGAGATCTAGAGCCTAAATCAGTTAATGAGGTTGAGCATTCTGACAACACTCCTCAGTAACTGCTAAATCGATGACGGAAGTTGGACCTAAAAACGAAAGTTGTACGTTTATTTTCAGGCTTTACCTTTAAAGACACTTGTCTTTTGACAGTGCTGTTGGCATGAAGAAATGTCCCACATAAGCCGATGAACACCAGAATACCTTCAATTAGAGAAATCAACGATTACCACCTTTCAAGCCATTTCCTTATTAAGTCAGCAACAAAAATTCGATACGCAAAGGAAATTCAAAACACGATAATTTAATGCAACGGGGTAAAACAAAGTCTAGATCACCAACCTAGTCGATGATCCCACATAATTCTACTCAGAAGTAAAATCACAAACGGAAGGCTTTTTTCCAACCACGAAATTGTTCCCTGAAATTCTACTCTGTCGCCTGCAGCGCGGCCACTGCCGTTACCAGAGGAATTGGAGTTTCCCGGCGCCATGTTTGCATCGCCATGTTCAGCGTCTGCTTCGCTCGAATTACCAGAATTTACGTTAACAGCGGTAAAATTAGACATCCTGTTCGTTCCTGTGTCTTCTTCATCATTTGCGTCTCTAAGAACCTCGGCTATGTTCACGTAAGATGAAGGGGAGAGAGGAGAGAGAGGTGAACTAGCCGACGATCGAGATCCTGGACTGCGATGACCGAAACTGGGAACAAACTCCCGAATAACGGATCTGATCGGGTTCAGAGGCGCCAGAGTGATTTGTCCATTCCCTGAAGTATATGACCACGAAGCTGACCGAGAATGGCTTCTTTGATGGAAGGTAGACGGTGTCCTCGAACCGGGAGAATAGGCATTATGATCAGCCGCCATGTTTTGGAGTGACGACTGTTGTCCTTGGACATTTCGCATTACCGTGGAATGAAGCAATGTTTTCCACTGAAAAAACCGCTGGATATTTCTCTTCGCAGGTCACCCATTCCCAGTCCCTCAACTGGTGTGGCTAACACGTTCAAATGCCTCAAAGCGTTTCTTTCTTCAGCAAATAATGGTGACTATTTTTGAAATGGGGGTAATTTGAGATGGGTGAAATTCTAAGGCATTTTCTCAGGAGTTAATATGATAGCTTTTAAGTTTTTTTTCGTAATTCATAAAAAAGCGTGTCACGAAGATTACCTTGAAATACGAAGGCTAAATTTTAGGTTGTACAAATCGTGCTGGAATGCCAATCATAGAGAGTAATTTATGCGAGCAAGAAGCTTTTGTACATTAGACGAGAACACCGTATGTCATCAGTGGAATATATTGTAAACATACATATGTCTCCTGCAAACATCTCACCAACAGACCATGAGTCGTAATGGGAAACTGCATAAATGCTAGTTGAGTTGACCGTTTGCCACTATTAAATCAGGGTGCATATTTTCCATACTCTTCTCTGAACAATTCAAAGGTTCTGACATACATAATTTCTTTAAAAACCACGAGCTACTTTAGTAGTTGCTCAATTCCATTATTCTCGTGATCCTAACGTATGATTCAGGGGTGATATTGTAAGGAGAAATCCGAAATTTGTCGATCATAGCTAGGGGTCAAAGGAATAAAACTTTCTAACATCTGAGGGGATAACATTTTTTTTCGTGTTGAGAACTGTTTTATATAATAATGACAGAAATTGGAATAGCTCTTCTGCGAGTCTTGTTTACGTTCAGGCGGGTCACTACTCTCGTTGATCTTGACCCTTTAACTCCCAAGATCTCATTAGTAATTCTCTTTACTGTCTGCCGTACAATTCCTATGATTTCAATTTGGAGAATTTGGTATTGGATCAACTAATAACCCCCCAAATTGATACTTTACTTTATTCTCATCACTTCTATGCTAGATATTGTATCGATACTGTAAGGAGAAATTCTCTCTTGGTCACTCATGGGAGGTAAAGGGTTAAAGGTACCACATTAAAAGTTAGACGTTTCTGATTTGCTAGAGGACTATTAATTATAAGGAATCGAGTTTGATGGGTTGACTAGCAATCTGATTGTTATAACGTGATGAGTGCAAGTGATTCACCGACACACAAGGGCATGATATGTGCGGGTGAGTCACTGTTGAGCGTTGCGTGATGTGGGAAAGCGAGTAACTGATGTATTGTACGTGATGTACAGGTAGGGTACGTGACGTGTATGCAAGTGAGTCACCGATGTATGAAGCGTGATACGTGCGTTTCAGTCTCCGTTGAGCGTTGCACGATGTGTGAAAGTGAGTCACTGATGTGTTATGTGGGGCCTATGCAACCAAGTCACTGATGCGGGATGCGTAATGTACGTAGGCAAGACAGCGTCACGCGTGCAAATGCGTGACTAAGTTGACGACCATGACGTCTCGATACTTCGTCGTCTCATGGATCAAAGGAAAGGACCACTCAAAATACGTGTAGAATTAGGTGTTACGTGTAAAACAAGCAAGTAACCTCGAGAGAAGGATAATAACGACACGCCAAGTTTATTTATTTTCTCGCAGAAAACAGAGATGTATCTTCTAATTAACAAATGTTTCATTTAGTTTTCCTGCCCTGTCACTAAAACCGTGGATGACAAAACTTGATAATTTATCACCTGACTCTTCCTCAGCTAAGGCATTTTGAAATATCGTAAAGAAATCACTTTCATTGTAGGACTAAACATTTTAAACTGAATTGAAATGAATTTAGAAAAGAGATGTAAATTCTCCGAAGGAAGCATTCTTTTTCCTTCTCGCCGAGATTTGGAAATGCAATCATGGCAGTCCACTGGTTTTGGCGGTTTTCATATTCTGAAAAAAAGAAATCAAGAAATCTCTCAAAACTTGTTTTAGTGTTAAAAAACAGACCTAGAACCACGTAAAATGTTCTTTATTGATATCGTCGTTTGTACCTACCCGCGATCACATGTGCATGACAAAAAAAAAGGTTTGAAAAATAGTAGAATTCTGAATTTTTGTCAATCTCTTGTCGGGCATTAGCCGGGTGATCCTTCGCCATCTCTTACCTCCCATCTCCCTCATCAATACAAGAGTGGCGCAAGTCTTACTACGCCCTACTACTTGTTGAATTTTTCTATAACTCTCATTTATAACCCTCTTTCCCCCATTCCTTGGTTGCTTGGTGTTAACGAAATGCTCGCTAATATCAAACAAAGTTGTTTGGGAGGAGGAGTGTGGCGGCGCCACTTTCTAAACCAATCAGATTCAAAACTGAAACCAATCTCGACTTAATCGCCGCGTTTTCCCGCCCTTTAGACAGTTTGGTTGTTTTTGGTTTTCCTTTTTTTCACCTCATGATTGGTCCACAGAATTCGTGCCACTTTCTGAACCAATCAGATTCAAAATCAAAACCAATCTCGACTTGGTCGCTGGCGTCTTTCCGCGCTCTAAGCAGTTTGGTGTTTATCCTCATATTCCTTTACAAAGATTAGCTGGCATTATGGCTTTGATAATACGACGTCCAATGAGGTTCAGCTGGGTTACTAATCATGAGCAATGTTGGTTGAGACACCATATCATTGTTACCGAATTCTAATCTGTCATTACTCACCAAGGTCCCACTGGTTCAAAAACATTCTGACCAAACTTTCCGAGAATGTTTCCCTGTGGATAATACCGAGCCACTATATAGGTTTGAATTGCGCCCGATGCATCCGGCCCTATGGTGGCAAGACCCGCTCCGACACTTGTGGTTGCATTCCAAACAACCTGACAGAAAAGAAACAAACAAACGAAGAAATCACATATTTGCATTAAAAAAGAATTGAAAATGGGAGTCACTGTTTTTTTAATTAATTTTTGAATTTTGTTTTGAATTTAGTTAAGCTATAAGTAAGGGGGTGTTTGTTGGAATACCTTCGTTTTGGCAACCTATCATTTCGAGATGGTTATCATGAGATGTTTTGAATATTTACGTATTTAATCTATTCTATTTGTTATTACTATTATTAGGACTGAGTTATGGCTGAAAACTTTCACAAGAGGGCTTGGTCTACTTAATTCTCCCAAGACGCTTCAGAGCAGAAAACATAAAGCTGAATAAGTAATTATTTCCCAAAATAGTTCGCGGTTAGTCATCGTGGTAAATGCACTTGTATACGAAGTGAGATCGTTTATCTCACGATTTTATCTCTTAACGAGTGCATACTGTAAATCTTCTACAGGCGAGAAGGTTGAACCCTCTTATTAGCCGGATTCTCTGCTCGCCAGTTTCTCCCGCCCTTTAGGTCACATGGTCTCCGTGACTCGGAATGTTTTGCGTAATGGCGGTCGTTTGGTTGTTTTGTCATCGATAAGAACGTTGTTAATCGCATTCTGTTGCACTGCATATTCAATAAAAATAACGAGGTCTGCAGTAATAAACATGGAGAAATTTACATCAGAGGAACTTTGGTCCTCTGGTCCTCAAACCTCGGATTTATTACCCAAGTGCGAAGCGTGCAGGCCATAATATTCGAGCAAAAGATAAACAGGCTCCGTAACTGAAAGTACGGACCGATAAAACGAAGTTATATAGTCACTAATCACATCTCATGGGTTCAAACAGAGAAGTTAAGATTCCAATTCAAACAGAACGGGGTCGTACAGTGAACTAAGGCCAGCTAAATTGACCAATCATAAAGAAAGTACTAACTAAGAGGTATGATAAAAGTACTTATTTATATTCGGAACTTTGAGATAAAAACCTGAGTGAAGTGACCAGCTCCCATGTCGAAAAATTCCTGGGGCGTTGTGGGTGGATTCTGAAAGTCATAGAGAGACACCTCACTGTACCTACAAGTATATCGGAAGAATCAGTTAACGGAATAGTAGTACAATGTTAAAATATTTAGTAATATTTAAAAATATCTAGTACAAAGGACAACATAGATCTATGAACACATTAATATTCGACGAACACTCAACATAAACCTCTATAGAATGTGAGTGTAATTATCTTTTAGTCGGAGAAAAGGCTGAAGTAAACAAAAAACAAAAAAAAGCGATTTAAAGAATATTTTGCAAAAGTTTGGTAAAAAATCCTCGTTGAGAATTACTTTCATGGTTGTTACTGCGACAGTATGCTTGTTTTTTTGCGGAGTTCTTACTGGCTTCTCATGAGATTTTCCGTCACTTTGAGTGGCGCGTGATCTTGTAACAACTTACCATGATTCTACAGCTTGTGCACACGTGCCTTGAACTTGTGAAACGGATGCGTACAGATTTTCCCCCTCATCTATATTTCGCTCGTGCTGCAAATCATTAATTGACACCAAGTATTCTGCCCATTCTTGCGCATGTTGAGCTAGCGTAGAATTCCAGATCAGCGCTGATGTCCCATGAAGAGCACGCTTGTCATTATGAGCTTGCAGACAGGCATCTTTTTCATAAGTGAAAAAAAAATTTAACGACTTTTATTAAAATTAGGCACAAAATCGTAAAAGTCATCAAACTGAATTAAGATCACGCAGAGCTGACGTTAAGCGATGTTAGACTGAGACTACTTGGACCGCATAGAGGAAAAGGCCTGCAAGTAACTGACGGAGAGGATTTATCTGATTAGCCTCTCAAAACACGCAAAAAGTTTTCTTTACTTAAGCTTTGACAAAACCTTCGACTGTCATCAGTTTAAATACAATATAAATTAAAGCATGAAATTTAGAAAGCACGACTTTGCCACACCACTCTTTTTAAATACATTTAGGTTCGTGTTAAAGGAAAGTAGGTTATCATCAGTGTGACCAGAATCAAACAAACAAAAAAACACCAATAAGCAAGTGACCATATACCCTCTGCAACAGTTGTCGCAGCCTCTGTCGTTGCTTCCATGGTCGTGGTAGCCTCCGTCGTTGGTGCCATGGTTGTGGTAGCCTCCGTCGTTGGTGCCATGGTCGTGTTAGCCTCCGTCGTTGGTGCCATGGTCGTGTTAGCCTCAGTCGTTGGTTCCATGGTCGTGTTAGCCTCAGTCG